TATCGAGAAAAAATATTGTCTGATGATTTCATGATATTATGGACTAAAAATGTACATCCACTTAATTGTTGAATTGGTAATATATGGGAATTGTATTATTTAGGAGATATGATAAGAGATTTACAAGTTGGCCATGAAGGCTTCGACTTTCTCTAAATCACGTACCAAACATTTCAACTATCATATATTATAGGTAAAACATTTAACAAAACACATGATACCTATAAATCACGTTAAGGCAAGTCTCATACGAGAAATTTGATAAAAAAAAGCATGACAAATTTTGAATTTAAAATCTATCGTTTGAAAAATTATTTGCTCAATAAATTCTTAGTCACCTCTCACTACAACAAAAATAATTTTTAACGGCATTAAATATTGACACTAATAAAGAGTGCTAACATCTTTACCGGCATTAGTTAAGTGTCATCAAAACCAATGTCGCTAAAGGCCTTAGGAACAGATATAAAGAGTGACAATTGCCACTAAAAGTACAAATTTAGCGATACTTAAAAATTAAATATCGCTAATAATTATTTTTATAGCAGTGGATCTGAAAATTAATCTTCAATCATCTCTTGAAATATATATATAAAAAAGACAGATATATAGACATCCATTGATTTTTCTCTACTTGAATATCAAATTCAATTAATTATTATAGAATTGTATTTCTTGTTATTTTATTTTTTTTTGCAACTGAGATACATGGTACCTCAAACGTGGCTCTATATTAAAGGACAACATGACCTTAAAATTAAACAAGGCAAAAAAGATTGTTTCAATAATGTGCAAAAAATGTACACGTAATTTAAGTATAATTTTTAGTATAGTTTTATTTTTACATAATTAATAAGATAGAATTAAACTTCAAACATAATTAATAATGTACACGTATAATCGTAATTTAGTTGAACTTCAATTTTTTGGTTTAGTCATACGTATAATAATTGGTATAGTATATTTGTAAACATGACCAAAAGGTAAAAAATTCTGAATAAGTATTTTGATATATAGTTCCTTTAATTTATTAATCACGATGTTAGTATGAACAATTTGAAAAAATATTATATGAAAAACTTTATCGCTAAGAACATGATTAATGCTTGCATAGTTATATTTCACGATATTTAAAATTGGGAATAAGATCACAAATATATTGTGTACATAGCTAAGATTTATATGACACGTAAATAACGTTTCTGTGTTATTTTTGGGTATTAAAGATTGACCATGTCTTAAGGACTAGGTGTACTGAAAAAAGTAATGCAGAAAAGTTGGAATTTATATAAATAAATCAACAATTTAAGAAAAAAATAGTTTAACATGATTGAGAGAAGATTGTTGTGAGTACAGACCAATTAAATAAAATATGAAAGTTATATCGGTAAATATGACTGAGTTAGTGCAACATGTGGTATTTCATAAAGAAAGCTAGAAATTGATTTCTCCTGTCAACACCTTCTTAGTCAAGCTTATTATACTGGACTTGCCTTAGTAACGTTATTACACACGAATAAATTTACCTAATACCAAAAAACCCTTTTTGAAACTTGCACATTACCAACAATATTGGGAATAAAATGTAGTATCAATTTTTTTTAGACGAAACGAGTGAACATAACTCTTTACCATTGGAATATTAAAAAAAAAAAGACCCTTTAAATTATTATTTTACGTGGATCTCATTAAGAATATTATATATAATACAAGTTATAAAATAGAAATATAGCAAGTTATGGGAATGGTACTAAAGAGATCATATCAAGAGATATACAAGTTGGCTATGAAGGCTTCGAAGTCTTTTAATAATTTCTTTCAATCACGTACCAAACATTTCTTTTTTTATATATAATTTATTGTCGAAAATCAAAAATTCATAAGGCATTTAACAAGATACATAGGAAAATAATAGACATTAAATCAAGTTTCGTCTGATGAGTTTGATCGAAAAAATATATTAAATTTTAAATATGAGACTCCTAAAAAATTATTTGCTTAATAACTCAATAAAATCGTTCACCTTTACAAACTTTCATGTAGTATAATGTATGCTAGTAATAGTTAGTTTTATTTTACATACATAATTAATATGATTGAATTCAAACTTCAATCATAATATTCTCTTTTTTCTTTTTTACTTAGTCAAATATATCATTAATTATTTATTCATTTTAATAAAATCGCGAAAAATATTAATCAAATTTATTCTTTTATAGACAAATAAAAGTGACTAGTTCAAATAATTTCTCTCAAGAGTTATGCCTAGTTAGTTGGATTGATACGATTTCATAGCTTTTAATCATATGGCTCATTCAAATTCGAACTATAAAAATGAAATTTTCTTAAAACATACTTATTAATATCGTAAATATAAATATATATCAGATGGTTATACCAAAAAAAATTAATAAGTCAAAAAAAATTAGTTTTCAACTTGAACTCTTGTTAGAGAAGTTAGGATGAATAATATATATTATATAATATAGTGAAAAATACGTCGTGCACGGCCGGCCAACTGCCCCCATTTGAAAAATAATTAAAAAAACGAATTTCCACGAGAACAATATCTTAATTTTTTAGAGTTGTTTGAATTTCTTTTAACTCTCAAACAAAAAAAGTAGATTTTATTCCCCCATTTTGTGGTTGCTTTTTCCTTTTTTCATTTTTAAAAATAATAATATAATATTATGTCTGTTAGTTTTTTAATTATGTCTTTTTTTATTTTATCTTTTTTCATCCTTTGAGATCGTGCAATGGCCGGCGTTGCCTTCAAACTACCTTGAAAAGATATAAGCTAAATTCATAGAGAAATTTCCTAGAAGGAGTATCGCTCGACGTCTTAGTCGGTTCACGTAAATTCAATAGCGGTTTTTTTTTCCAGGGAATAAATAACATGAATTTCATTAGTTTAGAATTTAATAACGTGTTTTTGTTTAATTTTTTAAAATTACCTTATGTATCACATCTATTCGCCATGCAGGTTAAAATAATCAAGTATAATTTGTTTCAAATATACTGTATTCAAATGTGATTCACATGTATCTGAGATATACACTGACCCTCTCTTTCACCTCTCTTGCTACGTATCTATATTTCGCTACATATCTAGAAAGATACAGATATCTAGTATCTAAAATACATGTTAACTCTCTTGCTCGTCTCTCTCCTCTCTCCCTCGTCTCTATCCTTATGTATACGTATTTCATAATTTATTTGATATGAATGACATATGTATCTTGTATCTTAATTTAATACATATATATGACTTAAAATTTGATATAAAATTATTGATTAGTAAGACAAAGCGTAATTAGTTTGAGTAGATTAGTATTTACTTATTTGGACCATGAATTATATTTAAAAAGTTCATTTGAAATTTTGTTAAATAGAAATTTATGAACTTTTAAGTTGTGATTCCGTTTCTATCTAGGAAACATAATATTTAATTTTAATGAAAAAGAAAGGAAGACAATCAAATATAGTTTAATATATTATTTTTTGGTAAACATATAATAAAATATAAAGAGGAGGTCTTTTTCATGACGCGTATATGATGAAGGGCGAAAGAAACGGCGGAATCAAAGGTGTGAATTGGCAAAGGCTAAGTTCACGTAATCTAAAATTATGAATCCTTTAACCTCTATCATCTCACTCTTTTTTCTTATCTTAAAAACAAGATATCACAGCTAAGTTTTTGTTATATGATTGAGACTCTTGCTTCCCCCCTATCCCAATCATTTATTTTCTATGCCTCGACTAATATCAAAACTCATAGTATATCGTATTTGATATTTATATCAGAATAGTGTTGTAATTCTATTAGTTCACGTTTGAGCCGATAGAAAAAACGTTTATGTTTTTTTGGCTTTCACTATGACTTAAACCTGAAATCTTATGATTTTCAATCCACTTTATTGATCATTAGGAAATTAATATAAAATTTATGTCAGAGTCCTTTCAACAATTTTCGAAAGGAAGTTCGATACATTGGCGGATCAAGGAAGAAGGCAATAAGAACAAAACGAATGCCTATTAAAGACGGAGCTAGAATTTAAATTGTATTTTAATTAAAATTCTAGCATTGTAATATAATGTATCAATAAATGAGTTTTGAATACTATATATATATATATATATATATATATATTGGTTCTTGATAGATGTGTGAGAAAAAGCTCGTGGTACATATTGCCCATCTTTTCTCTTCTATTTTGAGAACCGTGTGAACGAAGGCAAAAAAGAAAGAGTTTTTCATGGCACACTTAAAATGTATCATATAAACTTATTTAGGGCAAAAAAAAAAGAAAAAAGAGACAAAACATTACTTAGATAGCGATTTGATTTATCTTTTTTTCTTAGTGGTTGAAAAGGAAGGCGTTCGAATATGTTGTAGAAAGGGAAGACAAAATCATGGCGAGGAGAGGTGACTTGACAATATATATGACATATATTTACTTCTTTATATTTTTAAATCTCTTGATAAAAAATTGTGGTTAATTAATATTTACCAGTTACCACTTCACTTAATAATAAGGTTTGTTATGATTCTATGTATTTGGAACCTTGTCATATTTTGGGATAAAAGGAAGTATCAAGTACTTTTTTCTCTCTTTGAAAAGGGGAAAATTATGGGGAAAATCCACTAATTAATATTCTTAATTAGAAGATATTGTATTTCAAGTACAACTAGGTGCAACAATGGTTAGGTTTAAGAACAAGAAAAATCCAAAAAATTAAAGACAATAAACGAACTTTGCGGTTACTGTGTCGGATTTCGTTAGTAGTTTTAAAGATTTTCAAAACTCATCTCCCACGTCCTCTTCATTCCTTTTAATTAATTAATTAATCTCTCAACAGAACTCATTAAAATATTCAAACAAAAAAGAACTCAACACGTTCTCACTTGTTTTGTGTTTTTTCAATCTAATTAATCACTTCTCTTAAGATTAATTTTCATCCATCAGTTTGGTTAGTAGAATAGTAGTCATACCTTAATGATTAGATTAAGACAGTTAATATTAATGACCTTATAAGCTATCAACTTCAGTTGTGGCGAGACTGTTTCACTCTTAAATAGAAGTTTCAGGTTTGAGTCATGAAATTCTGTTGGGAGCGTTACCCATTCCGCAATGCGCGATTTAAATTAGAATCGAAATTTTAATATAGGCTTCGAACACTAAACAAAAACAAAAAAAATGACATTATAAGCTAAGTCCAAGATTGCATTAATCTCATTGAAAGGTTATAAGTATATTTTAATTCATTATTGCATGAACTTGGTCCCTCTTCTTAGTTGTACTTTGCCTGTTGGTTGGTCCCACAATTTATAAATTAATCATTTGGAATTATGGAAATATATTAAAGAAATCAAGTTAATCTTTTACTAAACATTCTTTTAATTCTTTTGTAATCTTCTCTAGTATAAATATTACAAACTTATAGCTCATAATTCCCAAGTGCCAATTAGATCATCCTGAAAAGCTTATCAGTTGACAATATTTTCTACATTTTTAACCAAAAGAAATGGAACATGTTGGAGCTTTTTTTGATGAAGAATGGGAGTCATTGAGCAAATTATTCTCTAGTACTGAAACTGCAGATTTCATGCTGCAATTGCAAGGTGATCATGGAAGTATGTTCTCGATGAATGGTAGCGATAATGCTGGCTCGAGCTATAGGACTGATAATCCACAAGTAGCATTCTCTCAATTGTCTGATGAAGTTAACAATAACTTTCAATATTTATCTCAAGAAAGTAGCATTACTAGCTGCGGAAGTGATCATGGAATGTTTTTTACTAACCCGAGCCACGACCATCTGCAGCATTCTAACAACATTGATGATGTTAACAATAAGCTTCTTCAAGTAGCAATCAACAACAACCTTCCTGATGAGTATCAGTCCATTGATTTCTTCGATATGGACAGCAAAAATCTTGAAAATTTGTGTATTAATCAAGATTTTCAAGCTGAAATGGTATGCGATCAATTGGACAATGCTGGGATATCCCCTGTTCCACACAAGGAAATGCAATTGAAAAGGAAATGTGACAAAATAGCACATGAAAATCCCAAGAAGAAATCGCGGGGTTCACAAGATGTGAGTTAAAATTACAACTTTAACGAGTGTGATTGAATAACACCTTTCTTTGAATACATGAATTTACCAATTCACTCAATGCAGGCACAGAAAAGTACTAAGAAAAAGATGCAGCCAAAAAAGGGGAAAAAGAATCAGAAAATGACTCAAATTAACAATGAAGAAGGAGAAGAAGAGACTAACAACAATGCAGATAACCAAATTGCTCAAAGCTCGAGTTGCTGCAGCTCTGAGGATGATTCTAATGCATCTCAAGAACTAAATGGAGGCACGGTATCTTCAAACCCCAAAGGAAAGTCAAGAGCTAGCAGAGGAGCTGCAACAGATCCACAAAGCCTTTATGCAAGGGTAAAAATAATAATTAACACCAGCATCATTCGTTTATCGTTCAATAACACTTGTTCATAGAGTCAAAATGTTAACTAGTATTTTCCATCTCCGAAAATTGCAGAGAAGAAGAGAAAGAATTAACGAAAGATTGAGAATCTTGCAGAACCTTGTTCCTAATGGCACAAAGGTAACAACAGTACTTTAAAATCATAATACTTCGTCTAAACGACTGATAAAAATAAATCCTCTAATCGATTTTTCTCCCCTCTTCAGGTTGACATTAGCACAATGCTTGAAGAAGCAGTTACCTATGTGAAGTTTTTGCAGCTTCAAATTAAGGTATTTAAATATTGAATCCTTCACATATCAATTTTTTCAGTTTCTTAATTTGGTTTGGTTGAACATCTAAAGGAATTAAATATTTATTTGATTTCTGCAGTTACTGAGCTCAGATGAACTTTGGATGTATGCACCACTTGCTTATCATGGAATGGACATTGGCATCTATCAAAAAATGCTACCAAATATGCAATGACTTTAGAAGCGACATGAATTGTTGCAATTTTTTATCAAGTATTTACTTATAAATAACAGATCACAACAGAAACCCCCAAATATGCTGACTACGTACAAAAAAAAAATACATCTATCATTTCTTCTTGATCATGAGGAATAATTCTCATGTTTTATAAAGTAATATTATAAAGTTCTTTGCTCACATTGTCCAAGGAAGAATTATGAATGGGTAAAATTTTATTCGTACTTGCTATTGATATCAAATCACAGTAATTCATCGGTGTGACTTAGTAATCAATAATGTACTCGATAATTGAAGTTAACGCAAGTCAATACCTTCTTTGATCATTGAGTACACTGTTGACTTTTCATCAACTTATCATATACAAAGAACCACCGGAGTCTTAAAAACTACAATGAGAACCAAGGTCAACTCATCATCAGGTTAACTATGAGAAGCGGTCAATCCAAGGCTATTTCGAGATTCTCACTCACTGAAAGTTCTTTTTTAATCAAAAAATAAATTCTTGTTCGGAGCATATCTATATATTCGAAAGAAGTAAATTATTGATGGTTAATAAATGAATATAAGGAATCTTTTTGTAAATAAAAATCGTTTAAAATGATATCGGTATCCTCATAGCGAGTAACGCAACACCAATAAAGAGGAAAACAACTATTTATAACCGAAAGAGAAAAAAAAGAGTTCCGTAAACACCTACTCCTTCAATCATCAAGTACACTATCCGACTTCCAACACTTATGATGGGGATCTTATCATACACAATGCACCTTGTCTTCATATGAACTCTACGACGAGATTCAAGCTAAGTAGATCCCGATTAGATCCAAAATCATCTCTAGGGACTTGGACTTGTTGTCAAGTGAATGCTCACAAAGTCACAAAAGACTTTGTCTTCAATTTCTTCTTTCTTTCATTTTCCCATTGAAGCTTTGGTTTCTGTTTACACTATACAATATAACCAGGAAAAAGTTAACTTTTTGCACCTAAGGTGTAACTGAAGTGGGTCCAGAACTATTCAATTCTCATCCGAGACAAAAACAAAACGTCATTTTCTTCCTATGTATTCCAACCTTGGTAGATAGTATGATCCGTTACATGTATTGGTAGGAGATCCAAATATGGAAAACAAAATTAACTAAAGTGTGTGTAAGCTGATTCAAACAATAAAAATTAAGATGTGCACAAGCTGACTCGAACAACAAGAACAAAATTAACTAAGGTGTACACACGTTACTTTGAACACTCATATCACCACAACGAATGTTGATCAAATACAAATTGTTAATATACAAAAGCCTTTAAAAAAAAAGAAGAAAAATACTTCTATTTATTACTAATACAATATTTATCTTTTCATATATACTATATCCTTCATAAAACAATACAAAAATTCTAGCACAAATAATATTTGTAAAAGAATAATTTAAAGAAATACTAACTAATACCAACGTATATTAAATTTTCTCAAATTTTAACCAAATACTACACAATTTTAATTTTTTTCCTTTTCCGTGTTAAAATTAGAGTCTCAATTAAATTTGAATCGCACATTGCAGGTTAATTCAGTGGTGATACTCAAACTCTGCACATTGCAAGGTTATTCGAAAGTAACAAACAGAAGACCTCTAGTTAAGGGTGGAACGGTATCACCACTACACACAACTTATGTTGATCACAAACTTATATTTAGGGCAACTTTCATACATAGTAAACATAAAATTCATATTTGTATGCTATAACAGAGTTTACATAATTGCTCTCCATAACAAATATATATATGTATAATTCGCTATACATATACAATTGAAGCGAATTGTATAAAACAAATTGTATAAAACGAAAAAGAGAAAGAGACTTGGGCAGAAAATTGTATAAAACAAAGTGTATAATTATAAGTGTATATAACGATTATATACAATTCAAATTGTATAAAATGAGAAAGAGAGAAAGACAAAAGAGACCTGGACAGTGAATATACATTTGAGTTAAATTGTATAAAATGAGAAAGGGAGAAATTATATACAATTTGAATTTGTATAAAATTAGAAAGAGAGAAAGGCAAAAGAAACTGGCAGGGGAGTATTTTTATTGTATAACTATAAGTGTATAGGACGAAAATATATGTATTTGCATGTGTATATATAATTTTCTCTTACTTTATACAAACAGAAACACAATTTATACATTTCGCTTCTGTTTGTATAAGCGAGAAAGGCGAGGGTGGCGAACGAGATTAGGGAGAGTGGCAGCGAGATCTGGCAGAGGAAAACAAAAATATATGTATTTATACAATTTTCTCTCGCTTTATATAATAAAAACAAATTTTATACACTTGTGTTTGTATAAAAGTGAGAGGAAGCGAACGAGAGATAGAGCGAGAGTTTGAGGGAGAGAGATGATTGACAAACAATTTGCTACGGGGCACAACTAAATCAAAGAATAATTATAACAATTAATTTAATTTATTATTTTGCCATTATATATAATTTTCCCTATATTTTAATATGTGAAATAAATTTTCTAAAAGGCCCAATACATACATCACCTCTTTAATTTGCTCATACATTTTGTCTTGATGCTCCGATTTAATCTTGTTCTATTTTAATTCTTCAACCTCATTTCTCATGCGTCATTTAAACATAAAATGTTGATTAAAGATTCATGAAATTGCTTACCTTTAACGTAAGTGAGAAAAAATTTAATAATAATATTTGACCCTTTTACGGTTAACAACCTTCTTCCCTATTTATTTCCTCTTCTTCCTTATTTATTTTGTCATCGACTTATCTACTTATTCATTTATTTTCTTAATCTATTTTTCTAAAAATTTAATAATAATATTTGACCCTTTTACGTATTTACTCTTCTTCCTTATTTATTTTGTCATCAATTTACCTACTTATTCATTTATTTTCTTAATCTATTTTTCTTTCTTATTTAGCTCTTTTGTAATATATATATATATATATATATATATTTCAAATAAAAGAATATCTCAAAGAAATAAAATTTGGATAATTGATTTATTTATAAAGAATTTTCTTTTTGTAATTAAATGATATATAAAAAATAAAATTAAAAAGTTATAATAAAACTATGTTAAATTGAAGCACCAAAATAAAATTTGAGACCCGCACGTCTAAAACCCAAACCAAAGCACCCAAGTTATATGTCCTCAAATTTTAATTTTCAACCATATATTATATTATACATGAATATGGAATGAAATTTGCTGGTATTAGACGGTAATTACTAATTACACATTTTAATTACACTTGGAAATATAAATATCCTACCTGTTAAATGTTAATCACAGAGTAAAATACAGCCGAAAGCCGTGACTGAGCGTGTCCCCACTCAGTTTCCTCCTCCTCTTTCCGTCCCACCGCCATGGCGACGACGGAGCAACCACTGAAGAAACGGAAGCTTTACGAACCACCTCCACCGCTGCCTCAGTCACCGCCTCCTCCTCCTCCACCGCAACCACCGCCGCCGCTGCCTCAACAGCATTCCGCGCTAACTTTCCAGCAGAGCAACGCTGCTCCGCCGCTATCTCAGGATGAAATTCACCGACGGAGAAGAAACCAAGAAGAGATTCGAAATGCTTATGAGTGCTACAAACGCATTAAATTCTGCATCTCACAGACCGACGATCGTCTTATGGCAGAACTCGAACAAGCATATCTTTCTCTCCTTACTGCCTCGAGAGGTCTGTATAAAGCATGTTTTTTCGATAAGATATCATGTGGTTCTTTTTAATTTAGATTGTGAAGTTGGGTGTTTTCATGGAGAAATTTGAAAGAGTGGATTTTGAATGCTATTTTTGTTCAGTTGCTTGCTAAAGAGTCAGAATAGGAATGAGGTTTCTACAGCTTCTTTTTCTCTTTGTTGTTATTCGAAGGCTAAGAACTAGTGATTTTGTGAGATTGATTAATTATATGGATTTAAGTGTTTTTAGGCATTTCTGGGATTTCCCCCTTGTATGTTTCATGAACCCTAGGTTCTAGAAATTGAAGCTTCGTTTGGTTGGAGTGAAAAGAGAAGAGGTTGAAGCAGTGAAAGTAAATGTGGAGAGTTTGTTTCTTTTCCAGTTTTCCATGTCAGACTGAAAGGAAGAACTACATCTCATTTACTTCCTATTCAACAGTAAACTACCTTGTTATCATTTTTATGAAATAAAGAAGAAAAAAGAACTAAGTTAAATTATAAACAAACCAACCAGAGTGATGCAAGCAAAGGTTACATCTCATGGTTGAAGTGATGCATATAAGAGTGTGTTTTAAGTTACTGCTTCTCATAGTTGTGTGTTTTAAGTTACTGTGTCTCATGGTTGCATGTTTTAATTTACTGTGTCTCATGGTTGAAGCGATGCTAAGCTATGTCGTTCAGCCCCACAAAAAATGCTATTTATTTGGAGGAATGACTCAAGTGTTACTCAAGCGAGAAGGGTTGCTTCTTCAGCCATGAATTTGAAAGATGGATGCCTATTACTCTTTGAGTGGTTATACTCCTCTTTGCTGTCATCTTTTGGTTCTTTATCCCGCAAGAATCTCTTCCTCCACCCCCTTTGAGAATGGTAAATTTTTACTAAGCTCAAAGATTCTCAAATTGGTTGTGCCAAAAAGTTTATACAAAGGGCTTTGGATTACCCTTTAGAGAGCAGCACTAATTGCTTTTGCTTATGAAAATCCTCTCTTGCCCCCAGAAAGCAAAATGACGAATAGAGAATGAGGAGGAAAATTGCAGGATTTTGAATTCCTCTACTTAGAGTAACATGGTTCATTCCTCTATTAGACATATGAAACTATGACAGTTAGCCCAGTGACGTGTATTTGTGTTTGCTATCGTTTGTTCTTAATATCATATAACTGTGCCAATTGTTCTACGAGATTTACTCCTCATGCTATTCTTGCTCAAATGATGTGAGTATGCCAATTGTTCAGTGAAAGCAATTGCAGTTTCATTTTATCTGAAGTGCCACCAATTGTTCTGTATGACAGTTGTTGCGCTTATGCTTCTATTTCTACTAGTTTTTGGATATGTATGTCGCACATACATTCTATACTAATCAACACAAATTTTTTATACATATTCTAAGAGTATGTTGGATCATATATATAAAATGGAAATTTAAGTATAAAAATACTTCAAGTTCATTGATACTATTTCTTAGCGACAATTTTGGTTCCAGAATATCGGATTTGAACATAGTTGAACAATCAAATTAAGGTTGTTAGATACTATTTGTAATTGCATTACTTATCTTACAATGGACATACATGTTATTATGTCATAGAAAAAGCACTTTTGGAAAGTATATTAGTGAATGGTTAAATAGGGTGACTAACAAGGAGAAAGTGCATGAGGTGATTAAGTGTTGTGTGGGGGACAAGGATCTAGGTTTAGATGGTTTCACTTTGGTTTATTGTTGGATAAAGTCAAACATGATGTATTGAATACTATTGATGAGTTCCAAGAGAGGGGTAATTATTAAAAGAGCTTGAATTTTTTAATCATTGTCATTATTCTTATGTAAAGAAAACGCTTCTAGTATTAGGGATTACAAACCTATTAGGGCCCGTTTGGATGGGC